TATATATATATATATATATATATATTATTCAAAATCAATGTCATGATTTCTTTTTTATTTATTTATTTATTTTTTTACATTTTTATGTATTTTGACAACTTCCTGCACTCGGAGTGTGTACTCTAATTGCATAGGGACCACACACCTCCCCGGTAAGGTCTACTCCAGGGTGCTGGAGAGGAGGATCTGGCTGACGGGGCGATCAGCTTCTCACGACCACCTCCCGATCAGGAATCGTAAGGTCAGGAGAAAATCAAACATGTTTGAAATTCAGTCGGCCGTCGTAAGATCGCATCAGAGCATCGGGCTGCAGAGAGCTGTTACCTTTTAAACCCTGCGGATTCATAGTACAGTGTGAGCTGTGGCTGGGTGGAACGACTGAAAATATGGCACAGTGTATGCCCAGCTTTAGACTGCTGCCTCCACAACCCGGCCCTGGATAAAGCAGAAGAAAATGGATGGATGGATCTCTTAAAATGTATGCTTTGCAATCGTCATTTACAGCACTTCAAATTGCCTTGCTACACATAGAGGACCCAACCATTGAATGCACCTACTGAATTTTGGCTGCATATATTGAATGAAAGCTTCGCATGCTTTGATTGACTCCAACCTACTCATGTTTTTGCAAGTTATGTGGTAATAACCCACACTCCCCACCATGGACTCCATCTGTGGTGATAATGGGTCACTCTTTTCCCTCCCGACACTCATCAGCTGTAAGAGCTGTTGTGTTTTTTGGCCCCTCCTTCTCGTTCTGAGCAAAAGTATCAAATTACATTTACACCAGGGCCTAATTATTACCTAATTATCTCTGAGGTACAGTATATATAATGTGTGCTTGCGTCTTGATAAGTTTTGTTTGGTTGTTAATTACATCTTTATTTTAGGATGGTTCGAAAAGCTCTCATGATGACCAAAAAATTGAGTCAAGTGAAGTTGCCTGGTGTGGCAGAGCCATGGCCTCACCCTGCAGCCAGGCCTGGGGTTGGGGTTAGTTGGAGATTAGTTGATTGTTGTAGAAGTACAGACTGGTTTCTGGAATCCAGCTCCTAGAGAAAAGCTGGACTTCTTTCTAATGCAGAGTGGTTGTTGTACAGATTCAACAGGTGAAGTATTGAGTCGTGATGGTCTCCTAAAAATGTCTGAAGTATCCCTTGGTCATGGATGTAATCAACAATCAATACTGGGTGAGGTTCTTTCAGGTTCCAGGTGAGACTGAGGACATAGTGTCTGAGTGGAAAATGTTCTCTTTAGATGACGGCAGCAACCCTGGACACCAGCAGTAGGGTTGCTGTCAAGCTTGAGTCCTATGAAGCCCGTTTGGCTCATGGAGCCCCTGAGGCAGCAAGCAGCTACAGTGAGAAACAGTGTGTCACTGCCCGAGAGATTACAGAGGCGACCATGGAGAAACACTATTGGTCTGCATAAAAAGGATTCTGCCAAACTGCCCGATGCTTATGCAAGGTGGAAGCATTGCTTCACTAATGCTGACCTTGACTGAGGACTTTTTGGACAGTGGAACGAAAACTTTAAATGTTCTACTGAACCAGGCTTTAACTTCTTGGACACCAGAAGCAGAGACTGAACTTATTCATAACCCAGGTCAGAGTCAAAAGATGTTTATAAAGAACTTTTTGGTGTTTAGAGCACTGAGATTTTTATAATCAATTCAAAAATACATTTTTAATCCCAAAGGATAATTAAAAGTTGAAGAAACTCTTCTGCCTTTCTTCAACAAGTTGTAGTGGATGTGGATGGCTGAATGCAGAAAGGAGTTTTAATATGTATAAATATATATTTCTGGTATATAGTTTAGACGGTGTGGTACATGGACTGCAACACACCCTCCCCCCGGTAGATGCAGCAAACACTGACTTCCTAAATGAACTGAACAGCTTCTTTGGAAGGTTTGAGGCACTAAACAGCCTCCAGCAGTGAAAGCTGTTCCACACCAGGGAGAGGAGGCACTAAACCTGGACGTAGCTGAAGAGAGGAAAACTCTGAGGAGAGTCAACCCAAGGAAGGCCCCAGGGCCTGATAACATACCTGGGCAGGTGTATAAGGAGTGTGCAGATCAGCTGGCTGGTGTCCTCACAGACAATTTTAACACCTAGCTGGACTGATCTGTATTGCCAGCATGCTTCATGTGTGCCAGCATTATTCCAGTCCTAAAGAAGCCTCAGGTCACCTCACTCAATGATTAGCGGCCTGTCGCTCTGACTCCCATCATGATGAGGTGCTGCTAAAG